ATCAAACCAACTACTCACCAAGCGAAAAGCGTATCAGGTACCCAACTGAAGCTCCTTGGCCAAATTGAGTGTAAATGTTGCTTTGCCGGTTTTACTGCATGGGGGACAATTTTCATCACAGCCCACAGTAATTTGAACCTGTTGTGGTTAGATTGGATTGCACATTTCAATCTCCTGGATATTCCACTAAACAACGTTTGTGCAAGCGTCAGACTTCACGGCCTACAGTCCTCGGAAACAATCGCAATTGAACGCCTAAAGCAGAAATACCGCACTGTTTTTTCTGCATGACTCGGTAAGTGTACAAAAGTCATTGCTTCGTTATCCCTCACCTAATGCTGTGCCGATATTTCGTCCCAAACGTCCCGTGCCTTATGCCGTAATTCCAGTTGTTGACCAAGAGCTAGACCGCCTAGAGAGAACTGGCGTTATTCATGCAGTTAACTATTCCTCATGGGCAGCCCCGATCGTGGTGGTTAAAAAACCTAATGTTCAACTTAGATTGTGCGCCGACTTCTCTACAGGGTTAAATGCATCCCTCAACAACCACCAATATCCCTTACCACTCCTTGAGGACATGTTTGCTAAACTGAACGGCGGCAGATGTTTTGCAGAGTTAGATCTATCAGGTGCATACCTTTAAATCGAAGTTGATGTACCCTCTAGGGAGTTACTTACAATAAACACTCACAGAGGTCTCTATCAATATCACCGCCTCCCATTTGATGTCAAAGCTGCGCCGGCCATATTTCAACAAATCATGGACATCATGTTAACTGATATTGATGGCGCTGCCGCATACTTGGATGATATTATCGTTGTTGGACTAAGTGTAAATGATCTTTTTAACAAGCTAGATCGAATCCTTGATCGTATTCAGGAATACGGCTTCAGACTCCATCCTGAAAAGTGCACGTTTTCATGCATTCAATCACTTTCCTGGGGTTCATTATTGACAAGGACGGTAGACGGCCTGACCCCTCGAACTTGGAAGTAATTAAGAGCATGTCTCCTCCTACAGACGTTTCAACATTGAGATCATTCTTGGGGCTCATCAGTCACTATAGCCAATTCCTTCCACAGATGTATCGTGTACGCGGTCCACTTAATAATCTACTGCGCAACGATAAGCGCTGGTACTGGTCTGAACAATGCCAAAAATCATTTGAGGAGGTAAAAAAGATGTTATGTTCCGACCTTTTGTTGACACACTACAACCCCACCCAGCAAATTTTACTAGCTGCGGATGCTTCAAACTACGGTGTTGGAGCAGTTATTTCCCATAAGTTCCCAGATGGCTCAGAGAAAGCTATTGCGCACGCAGCCAGGTCGTTAACCCCAGCAGGACGAAACTACCGTCAGATAGAGAAGGAGGCCCTGGCAATAGTCCTCGCTGTAAAGAAATTCCATAAGATGCTATACGGAAGGAAGTTCGCCCTCCTTACTGATCCTAAACCATTGCTAGCAATTTTTGGATCAAAGTCAGGCATACCTGTTTATACAGCAAACAGGCTGCAATGTTTGGCTATCACGTTACTTGGCTATGATTTTGAAATTAAGTACGTTTCCACAAAGAACATAGGCCAGGCTGACGCACTTTCACGATTGTTCGAAAATCACCAACCTCAGAGAGAGGACTCTATCATCGCAACCATATCCTTAGAATCAAAAGTAAACCAAGTGCTGATAGAGACTCTTCGCAAGCTTCCGATTACCTTTGAAATGGTTCGTGCCGCATCAACCCACGATCCAATCATTCAACAGGCAATAAAATACCACACAACACAGTGGCCCAAAGATAACCTTACAGGGGAGTTACACAACTTATCCCTAAGAAAAGATGAACTATCAGTCGTTAATGAATGTCTGCTCCTAGCTGATCGAGTAGTCATTCCGGTGGAACTTCGCCAGCGTATTTTACGGCAATTTCATCGTGGTCATCCCGGTATTAGCAGAATGGAAATGGTCGCTCGAAGTTTCGTTTATTGGCCAAACATCGACGCGGACCTCGAGCGCTTGGTGAAGACATGTTCACGGTGCGCGCTTGTCAGTAAATCACCGCGGAAAACCGAATTAGCTTCCTGGCCATTGCTGACTAAACCCTGGCAACGCATACATGCTAATTTCTTTGGCCATGTCAATGGACAGCACTTCCTCATCGTTGTAGATTTTTACAGTAAATGGCCTGAGGTTTTCCCGATGGAGCATGCAACCAGTGGCGCCACCATTAAAGTACTCAGAACACTATTCAGCCACTGTGGGATACCGGAGATTTTAGTCACCGACAGTGCTTCCCAATTTACTTCCTACCAGTTTGCCGAATACTGTTCGCAGGTTGGTATCACACATTTTTACGCACGCCGCCGTTCCATCCCCAATCAAATGGACAAGCTGAACGTTTTGTTGATACCTTCAAGCGTACATTAGTTAAAATGCGGGGAGAGGGAACTACGCAGGAGATATTAGATATTTTCCTACTTATGTACAGATCAACCCCAAACCCTCAAGTGCCAAACGACGCATCACCCTCAGAGGCGCTAATGGGAAGGAAGCTCCGCACGGTTAATTTCTTGCTACTACCGAAGAGCACTAGTCCACAAGCCAGAAATATAAGAATGGAGAAGTATTATAATCAGCGAAATAGAACTCAAGAACGCCATTTTCACGCAGGACAGAAGGTGTTGGTCAGAGATTATCGCATGGGTAAGCCGCACTGGGCAACTGGTACGATTCAGAACCAAATAGGAAGGGTGATATACAAAATCAAGGCAGGTGATTTGATCTGGACTAGACACGCAAATCAGTTGAGACCCACTAGTATTACAGAGACCAAGTCTAATCCATCCCTACCCCTTGATGTTCTCTAAGACAGTTTCAATCTACACCCTAGAAACCCAAGCGTGTCTGACGAGGCGTGCGCAACAGTCCCGGAAGAAGCGAATCTGCAACCAAGACGTACTGATCGGATCCGGAGGCCAACTATGCGTCTACAGGTAGACCCACACAAACGTTCGTACGACTGACATTTCTTTTGCGGGAGGAAGGTGTAGTGTCATAACGAACACAAGTGGCGGAATGTCCAGGAAGTATAACTTGGCTGATGCCAGAGTATTGCCAGAAACTTTTTGTAATTATGCACACAAGTGGAACATAGTGTTGTCTAAAAAAGCAAGTGTTATTCTACAAGCCAAACCATGTTCTGTATCGGAACAATTCGTGTCCACAATCCGAACACTGTGTTTTTGTGCTGTGGTACATTTTGTTCCTGTTGCCTGTTTCACACAAAAACCCACACCACTCGTGCCTCCAGGGTCCTATTTAAACAAATGTGTATTCGACTGGAAATGACTGGTTCTGGTGTGTTTCCTTCTACTTCCGCCCGGTCTTGTATCAATACACGTTGCGCTGTGGTCTTCGTTTTTCTGAGTTTTCAAGGCGGAATCAAGCAGGTGCTCAG